TTTGAAAAAGATTATTCAGTCACTGGTCAGTACCAAAGTGGGCAGCGTTTTAGTTCCACAACTAATAATAATATTTATAATTATAAATCATAATCAGCTGCAGAGTTTCAATTGGACAACTCAGATAACAGAATCCGTGACTGACTAGAAACAATACCTTTCTAATTATCAAATCAGATTTAAATCATCTAATCAAATAATGTATTCTGTAATCATTGCTTCAAGCTTATTATATCTCCTGTTTCATTTATTTTTAATTGTTCACGTCTTTGCGTCTAACTCAATAGTTGAACATACAATCAGGCTTAAAATGAACAAAAAAAGTATTATTAAAAAATAGGCAAAATAAATATAATTTTAGCGCATGATTAAATTCTTTGTTAATCTTCTCCGTGGTTGTTTATTGAGAAGAATTAGAATTTACTATACAATTTTTCCGGTTTAAAAAACAAAACGAACATATTATGTAATTCTTTAGCAATTTTTTATTTATTAAGCATTACCTAACCGAACTTTACTTTCAAATTAGGCTGAAAATTTAAAAGGAAGAAATATATTTAAATGAGAACACTTTTATGTTTAAAATACACATATTTTTGCATATAAAGCTGAAAATTAAAAGACTGACTCCATGCACAAGTTATCATTTTACTCGGCCATCTTATATAAAAAAAAACAAAGACATTGGTATATTGTATATAAATATTGAAGCAAAGTTCATGCAGGGGCGAAATAATGCAGCCATTTGGTCTGAAGAATCTAGCCGTGCTCGCTGCAGGGCAGACTCTGGCAAACAAATGCCGTCTCTTTTACCCTTTCATTGCCGTCATAACCCGGGACTTTGATGGACCCTTCGGCCTCAATGTGAGGCACACTCGACATTTGCTTAGTGGATTTAAAGTTTTTAAAACACTTTACTGAATCTCGCGGCCTCAATGTGAGGCACACTCGTCATTTGCTTAGTGGAATTAAAGTTTTTAAGACACTTTGTTGGGCCTCTCGGCCTCAACGTGAGGCTCACTCGTCATTTGCTTAGTGGATTTAAAGTTTTTAAGACACTTTGTTGGGCCTCTAGGCCCCAATTTGAGGTACACTCGTCATTTGCTTTGTAGATTTAAAGTTTTTAAGACACTTTGATGGGCCTCTCGGCCTCAATGTGAGGCGCACTCGTCATTTGCTTAGCTTAGTGGATTTAAAGTTTTTGAGACACTTTGTTGGGCCTCTCGGCCTCGATGTGAGGCACACTCGTCATTTATTCAGTGGATTTAAAGTTTTTAAGACACTTTCTTGGGCCTCTCGGCCTCAACGCGAGGCGCATTCGTCATTTGCTTGGTGGATTTAAAGTTTTTAAGACACTTTGTAGGGCCTCTCGGCTTCAATGTTAGGCTCACTCTTCATTAGCTTAGTAGATTTCAAGTTTGAAGACACTTTGTTGGGCCTCTCGACCTCAATGTGAGGCACTCTAATCTTTGTTCAAAAATTTAATGTTATGATAAATAATACTATATTGTGTCCATCTTTCACTGTTAGAAAATTTACCGTGAACAGTATTACCGGCGTTTCAGTGGCCGGTGGGCACGTGAAAAGAAACACCGTGTTGCCTTTTTATTCTAATTTAACACTAGAAATCCGTAAAACATCTGAAAAAAACGGCGAAACAGTTTATTTTCACGGGGCGACCGGCCACTATGGAACGCCGGTGGGGCCGTTTTTTCACCGTTTTTTCTAACAGTGTTCTTCCTCGATGTTATAGGAGCGCGTATGTGAAAGTTAGCAGTTCAACGCTTGAACCCATGTTTTCAACATTCGATTTTTCAAAAGCAAATACTAAAAAAGATTTTCACGCAGTAAGATTTGAAGCTCTGAGGCGTGGCATCGTTAAAAAATTCGTGCCAGATCATTTGTCCAGCGCTGCTGTCATGCTAGGCACTTTCATTGCTGAATGTATGAGTTCATACATGTACATACACCGACATAGATGAATGAAAAAATTTGAGATGTAGAAATGAAGAAATTATAAATTTTACTCATATGTTTGAACACTCATTGTACCATAGGATACGAAAGCTAAGTCAATGCTTCTGATGAATGATTTGATATATTGTGTCTGTTTAGGGCTCTGGTAATGTACTCTAATTTGGCAGGTGCTTAATTAATGGTAATATATATTTCAAAATCGACACAGGTGATTCTTATTTCTGGAATTTATTTATTTTATTTATTTATATTCTTACACAGCCAACAATCTCACAGGTCTCCGCCTCTCTTAGTAACCAGGCTCGCCAGAAACCTTGCTCGGCTCTCACTCTCAATTCGAAGTGTAAACTTGTGTCAAACTCAAAAATTTCAAATTGAAAATTTTTTTTGGGCAAATTAACTGTTCATTACTCCTACCGACGAGATCACTATCAGGACATTACATTATTTCATATTCTCTCATAAATTATCACCATCACTCCTTTCATCCTGGATCGTTTCCAACATCTCTGCCATTCACATCAAACTTCATCATCGTGTGTTCTGTCTCCTTGTCTCCCTTCACTCTACCTGAACACCTTCAATTCCATTGACACAATTTGCTCTACTGCAAAATTTTAGATGCTCACGTACACTTTACATGAATTCAACTCTAGGCATATCTTTCATCATTCAAGTTTAGGTTATCGCTCAATAACGTTTACACGATAACATGTTGTCGTGCCATTGTTTACACGAACCTTTAATTTATAACGAAAATTTTGGTCCATTGATCAACGAATTCAAAACGAATGGGACTTGAACTGAAATTTGTAACGATCGAGATTTGAATTGAATCGACAAACGGGATTTGAATTGAATTAACGAAGTTGACGAATGGGATTTGAATCAAATTGACGACCGAGATTTGTACTGAAATGTGAAGCAATGAAGATACTCTCCCCAGAACCATATATACAAAATCGGAGCCGGGCAATGAAAATTTCAGTCCTGCTGAGGTCTTGAAGAGGATATGTCATATTGGCTCTCGTTACAATAGCGTGCATTTCCAGTCCATCCTATAAGACAAGATTATTTTACATGAAAGCATGAAGCTTATGTATTGACTTAACATAGTGCAGGTGCTGCTTTTTTTGGCAAAATGTGGATGTACTGCCAAAATGCTTTTTTCACACCTTAGGTATGGTACTCATAATTGGCTCTTCAAATTTTTTTCAAATGAAAATGGTCCGTGAGTGGAAGGCAAATGAAAATTTTCTACATTTTTTAGCTGAATACTTGTTTCAATGTATCGTTCCTCCTAACTGAAAAACTTTTTTATCTTTAATATTGTGAATGTGTGGGTGATTTTTCTTTTCAGAGTTATAGAATAGAATAGAATAGAAATGTCGGCACTGAAGAAATAGGCCCATGGCCTGTTGCCCATTCTTGAATTTTGCGTGACTTGATTCACAAGGGATCCGGCCTTTGGAACCCGATCTTTCCATAACTGACGATTGATTGAGATAGCTGCTGGACTTATTGCCTGGTCCGTAATTTGCTAGGCATTTTAAGACTGAACATATGCTCCTGCATAGCTTCGTCTAGTCTGTTTTTGAAGATGTTCATACTCAGAGCGTCAACGATGCTATCAGGGAGGCTGTTCCACATGTCGGTGACTCGAAGCGAGAAGAAATGTTGTCGCATGGATTATAGCTTTGAACAGATACCCTTTTTAAAATCCATCATAAAATAATTCTAAGTATTATACTGATGTGAATTTAATAATGTAACTTTATAGAATGTTTCAATCGTTTTACCTTACAGAATCCAGGTTTTATGTATAATTAGGGAATAAGTCGGTAGTTTATAACTCTCTGTGTAACGAAGCGATAGTCAAGTGTTGAAACTATAATATGATTCCACCTGCCTTCAAAAAATGAAGAGATTGTCCTAACACTGTTCGGTTGAATCGCAGTGTGGATGAATTTTGTTATTTAAAATAACGAAGCAAAAAAATAACTTTGACAAAATGGGGTTTTGTTGTTTGTAAATTCTGGTATTCCTTATGAATTCCTGAAGGCTTTTGAATCTTAAACAGAAATACATTGATGATAATTTTTAGTATTGTCATAGGCTGCAATCAAGAATAATTTTGTTCGCTTGGCACAGTTAAGCCAGTTAAATAAAATGTGATATTAATGCGTGAAAATTAACCATTTTGAACCCGATGTGTTTGTGACAGTCCCGGATAAATCGGCAATCTGTTAATTGCCGAGTCTGCTCACCTATGCAAACTTGAAACACAGTCATCGTTTCCAGTCATTATGTAAACACAGTCATCGTCCAGTCATCTATAACTCCCTTTCCCCCATCAACCTCATCTGGATAACTGAATATCTTCTAGGAACATTCGTCAATTTTCATCCATTTCCGTTTTTCATCCCTTTCCTCCTCTATCAACCTGTTCACCACTTTCTTAAATCCGGGCTTTTTATTCTCAGACATGAATTTTTTATATCTTTTGCTTGTTGAATAAAGTCTCCACTAAACAAATCTACAATTTTCTAAACGTAACTTTTTCTTTTTTCTTTCTTTCTAATTTTCCCTCTTCCTCTACTGTTACTTTCCGTCCTCGATCCTGACTCCTCAGTTCTCGATCCCTACAGTTTCCTACTCGATCCTCTTCCTACGTGTGACGTCATACGGTCACCAACTCGTCCTTCGGCATGAAAAAAGAAGACAAATCCTTGACTGTAGTATACGCTGGGCGGCACTTAATTCCTGCCACTCCTGATCCAGGCCACAGCGATGGAGAAGACTTGATATTAACAGTAACGGGAACTCCTGTTCAACCACAAAACAACGCTTCTTTTTACTGCCGAGGTTCCATACCACCAACATATAATATTCAGCAGCCCTATTCGCTACCGAGTTATAGGCACAGTCCACGATTCGAATATCATGACGGTAATCGTACGTATTACCCGGTGAGCGAGGAATACCAGTACGTTGAGACTTACATGGAAGCGCGGTACCCGAGGATGAGGAGAAAATCAGTGGAAGAATTTAGGTTCAATACAAATATGGATGCTCCTCCTCATAGGATTCTTGATATCCACAATTTGGATCCTCCTCCGTATTGGATACCTTTACATGCAATGTCCAAAGAGAAATCCGGTAAAGGATTTTTGGGATTGAAGAAAAGTGGAGGACAAACTTTAACGGATAAAATCTCCCATTCCATCGGTAGTCACACAAGGAAACGCAGACCACACAGCTTGGAAGCTGAGGCTTCATCCCTGCAGTATATGGACGGTGCAGACCCTCTGGATGTGAACGTTGAAGAATCGTCTTCGTATCCTGAAAACTTGTACCCAATTTACCTGCCCATGGATCAGGCTTTCAAGACCAAATATGTGTTTGCGACCAGGAACAGGAAAGCTAAATCGCTGCAAGAAAGAGTATACACTCTGCTTGAGCATCCGTATGGGTGGAAGTCTTTCATCTACCATTTTCTTGTGTGAGTTCGTCTTCAGGTGTTGAAAAATTAATTAATAAATCGTCAACTCACGGTCTTTAGATCATTATATATTTTACCTTATGAATTCTAATGTCTTTCAACAGGTACCTAAAATTATCTTCAAACAAATAGACGCTTTTCTTTTTCGACTTCTGAATGAAACTTGTTTGCAAAATAGAAATTTAATATTCGATGAAGCAGTTCACATTTCTTCCGTCTCATGTATGAGTGAAATAAAATGTTTATTTTTGAATAATCTATTTACCTTTGTCAAATAGTGATTTTTCTAGCGCAAAAAAAACACGTTACACACAGAGGCTTACATAACAACTCGAGGTCCACTTTCCCGGACACAATTAAAATGTTCATTTCACTTCTTTTTGCCAAGTGATTTCCCATTTCCCAAAATTTTGGAAAGTTTTGGGACGCGTCAAAGGAATGATTTCAAGGCTTCCTAACTGACTCACCACGCATGGCAGAATATAGCCACGCCAGAACTCGATTGTAGCGAATTCATGTAATGCATCACAATTCATTTGAAAGCTCGGTTCAGCATTCGGTTTAAATGACAAGGACTATACATATATTGAGGGTCAAATATGCAAATAATGAAAAATATTAAAATCCTGGACCTCAGAAATTTTTTTTCTGTAATTAAAAACAATTAATAACCGGAAATTTTTATTTTATTGCATATATAAAAAATTCTATTTTATTTAAAACTTTTGATGTTTATAACTTTTAAATGTTCATTTTCTATCAAAATTATAATTTGAGATTTTAACCAAAAAAATCACTAGCCAGTTGATTATTTACCTAATTGTTGTGAGGAATAGCACCATTTTTTAAGGTTGTAATTAGGATGCATGAATTACTAATATCGTTACACCATTTCGGTTATATCGCAACTGATTTTTGTACAATGTATTAGATTATGGTACATGTGAAATTTGTATTACATTACAAGATAAATTCAATTCAGCGACAGGCCTATTCTTCTACACCGATATTACTATGTTATACTATTACTATTAATATATCGTTGAAATTTATCAGGTATTTTAATACTGACCTCACTGAAACGCGTATTAAATTATAATATTGGTCTTATTGAAAAGAGTTTCATACTCTAATTTTGTTTACTTTTTTCTGCGCAGGTTCATGGCAGTTCTGATATGCCTGATCTTCAGCGTGCTGTCCACGATTCCAACTTACGATGATTTCGGGACCGAGCTTTACTATATGGTGAGTGTGAAATAAAACGTAAAATAATTATAACGTAAAATAATAATAAAAAATCTGCAAAACAACGTTATGGTAAATATTAAAGAAAGTATAGGATAACTCAAATCAAGACTTCTATGAACTGTACAATAGTTTGATTTTTGTGATAGATTTTATGGCTGAAATAATGTTCATTTGGGGCTTAAATTCTTATATTTAATGTCATCTCAGTGATTATGTAGAAATGATTCATGTCTCCTAATTGATGATTATAAGCCTAAAAATATTTTTTCATGAGTTAATATTAACAATGCTACATACTGTGACGTTAACTGTAGATGCTTAACTCACTTGTACATTTATTTAGTTCATTTATGTGTTCGCTTATTTGAAGCCAGACATCGTAATTATATGGAGATTTTTTTCAGGTATCCATGATACTTTTCGTATCGGGGTATTTTATTTACCTGAAATTTTCTTCTTTGGCTAATAATGGCATTATGACTGGTTATACAGTATTTTCATTCTTAGTCTGGGAATTATATGGCATTACAAAACGAGGGGGATGGTGAAAATTTGCACAAACTGTTTCGTTCAAATTTCATTTAAATGATGAGGTTCATTTTAAGTCTCAAACAAAGACTGAGGTATTTCTATGCATGATGTGAATTGGGCCAGGTTTTTCATCTACTCTACTATTTTTAGCATTGTAATTTAATTTTAGCATTGTATTTTAATTTTAGCATTGTATTTTAACTTGTAGCTTTGTATTTTAAATTTAGCATTGTATTTTAATTTTATCATTGTCTTTTAATTTTAGCATTGTATTTTAACTTTAGCATTGTATTTTAATTTTAACATTGTATTTTAGCTTTAGCATTATATTCTAACTTTAGCATTGTATTTTAATTTTAACATTGTTTTTTTTCATTTAATTTTTTCATTCGTGATCACAGTTTTCGGAATTACTTAAATTTCAAATTCCTTTGATAATCTATCCCCGGTTTAGCCTTCAGGTCTCTGGATTATATTACAAAATATAACTCAGTACTCACTGCAGTGAGTGACAGAGAGCGCATTTTCTCGTCGACGAAAACGTGAAGTCACGGACGGACGGACGGACGGACAGACATACGGATATGACGAGCATAATAGCGCCTTTTTTTACCCGTATATGAGAAAATGCGCTAAAATTTTTTTTAATTTGCAGGAGATATTTCTGGTTGTGTTTTTCGGGCTGGAATACGCGGTGCGGCTGTGGGCGGCAGGCTGTCGCTCCAAGTATATGGGCTTCATGGGCCGAATTCGCTTCATCAGAAAGCCCATCTGCGTTATAGGTACGAAACAAATGAACTTTGTTCATAATTATGTATTTGATCTGAAAGAAACCTTTAAATCTGAAACCTTTGATCTGAATTATGTATGTGATCAGAAAGAAAAACCTCTGTGTAATATTTTTTCTTGTTATGTAGAGTAAAATTTCGTATTTATTTATATTACAGCTCCTTCGCACGGTTTTTAACATCTGGGAATGAAAGAAAAATTTTATACGTGCTGAAGTCTGCGGGTTTTACACTGAAGATTTAATTAGTGGAAAATTTCTAGTCATTTTGAACAATTAGTATTTATATATGCTAAATCAGTCCATTGATTTAAAAGTAAATAATTTCAGGTCTATAGCATGACTATTTGTTATCAGCAAACTTCCAAAGCTGCTTTCATTGCAAGATCAAACCTGCAAACTTAACCAAATTGATTAATTAACTAATAAAAATTCAATGTTTATGCGCAACAAATCGAAAACCGTCCACTTTGTTCTATTTACTAAAATTCTATTTACTTTACTCAACTTTCTTCTTATAACAACCTTTCCAATCCTGTTTTTTCTACAGTAATTTAGGCAACGCTGCCTACTTCACAACAACTTATTCAAGCCACTGCGTATATTATTATAATTATAATTATTATCATTATTATTATTAATATTATTTATTATTATTATTATAACAGCCTACATAACCCGTTGATTCAACACCATTCCTGATGATAACTAGTTTATTCAACATCATTCCTGATTATAATCCATTAATTCTACACCAGCCTTCTTGATAACCCTGGGATTCAACACCGGACGTGATGATAACACCTGTATTCAACAGACTTGATCGGAGTGCTGGCGTCGGTGGTGGACACTAGGCGCGATGAATACCACTGTATTCAACACTAGACCTGCAGATAACAGTTTTTTCAACACCATACCTGCTGATAACCCATGTATTCAACAGACCTGATCGGCGTGCTGGCGTCGGTGGTGGTGTTGATATGGGTTCAACTCCAGACGTGATGAATACCCCTGTAATCAACTCCATACCTGCTGATAACCCATGTATTCAACACCAGACCTAATGATAATAGGTTTATTTAACACCATACCTGCTGATAACCCATGTATTCAACACCATACCTGCGTATAACCCATGTATTCAACACCATACCTGCGTATAACCCCTGTATTCAACACCAGACCTTATGATAACCCATGTATTCAACAGACCTGCTGATAACTCATGTATTCAACAGACCTGATCGGAGTGCTAGCATCAGTTGTCGTGCTGATAGCCCATGTATTCAACAGACCTGTTGATAACCCACGTATTTCAAAGACCTGATCGGAGTGCTAGCATCAGTGATGGTGTTGATAACCCATGTATTCAACAGACCTGCTGATAACTCATGTATTCAACAGACCTGATCGGAGTGCTGGTGTCGGTGGTGGTGCTGATAACCCATGTATTCAACAGACCTGCTGATAACCCCTGTATTCAACAGACCTTATCGGAGTGCTGGCATCAGTGGTGGTGTTGATATGGGTTCAACTCCAGACGTGATGAATACCCCTGTATTCAACACCAGGCCTGCTGATAACCCATGTATTCAGCACCATACCAGCTGATAACCCATGTATTCAACACCACACCTGCTGATAACCCCTGTATTCAACAGACCTGTTGATAACTCATGTATTAAACAGACCTGATCGGCGTGCTGGCGTCGGTGGTGGTGTTGATATGGGTCAACACCATACCTGCTGATAACCCATGTACTCAACAGACCTGCTGATAACCCCTGTATTCAACACCATACCTGCTGAAAACCCATGTACTCAACAGACCTGCTGATAACCCCTGTATTCAACAGACCTGCTGATAGCCCACGTATTCAACAGACCTGATCGGAGTGCTGGCGTCAGTAGTCGTGCTGATAACCCATGTATTCAACACCAGACCTGCTGATAACCCACGTATTCAACACCATACCTGCTGATAACTCATGTATTCAACAGACCTGATCGGCGTGCTGGCATCAGTAGTCGTGTTGATATGGGTTCAACTCCAGACGTGATGAATACTCCTGTATTCAACACCACACCTGCTGATAACCCACGTATTCAACAGACCTGATCGGCGTGCTGGCGTCAGTAGTCGTGTTGATCTGGGGCATCGACGGGCAAGTGGGCGCGACGTCCACGCTGCGGGGCATCAGGTTCCTGCAGATCCTGCGCATGCTGCACGTGGACAGACAGGGGGGGACTTGGCGTCTGCTGGGGTCTGTGGTCTTCATCCACAGACAGGTGAGGAGCGTCTGCTGGGGTCTGTGGTCTTCATCCACAGACAGTTAGGGAGGGGATATGGTGCCTGTGGTGTCTGTGGACTTGTTGCCTGATGGGGTCTGTGGTCTTCATCAACAGACAAGTGAGTGGCCAAGGACCGCTTTTATTCACAGACACAGGAGGATAAATTATTCAACAACTATTTTTATGAAGAAGTCATCTGATGCGGATTGGATAAAACCAACAAGAAAATAAAATCAAAATTGAAGCCTATTCAAACCACACTTGTTTTCATGTAACCAGCAACTATGTTTTTATTTACAGGCGCTACATTATTAAAACTTCTCAGCACTAAGACATAAAATTCAATATTTTAATTATGCTAGCAACATTACAATGCAAATATAATGCAATTATGGTATCATATAAAAATAATATTATCTAATATAAGGAAATCAAAACTAGCAAATAAAAATAAAATATTAACGCAATTTAAACGTAACGCAGGAATTTGAGTAAATAAAATTAAAAATATTAATAAAAAATTTGACTTGCTTATATTGCCGCAATATGTTCAAAGCGATTTAAGGGTAACCCAATTTATTCCTGTCTTTCTCTACTAGACTTTTTCAACTTATGTACATCATTTATTTATTATGCAAAACATATTACTGCCGTCTTTATTATTACTGCCACACTTATTACTGCCGTCTTGATATGCATGCCAGTTTCTTGCCACTTATACTTTACCAATTAACTCCCTAACTCCAGCCCTTATAAATCATTTATTAGTCACTCGTTATATATAGTTTGCTTATCTCAACTATTTTGGACCGACATTAATGTTTCGTCCCACAGTTCCTACACGCCGTTGTTTTCAACCGTACCAGGTTGAAAACAGTGGTGTAGGGGGAAACAACACATGTTTCTTCCTACTCATTCTCCCCCTACACCACTGTTCTCCCCCTACACCACTGTTCTCCCCCTACACCACTATTCTCCCCTACACCACTGTTTCCCCCTACACCACTATTCTCCCTCTACACCACTGTTCTCCCCCTACACCACTGTTCTCCTCTACACCACTGTTCTCCCCTTACACCACTGTTCCCCCCCTACACCACTGTTCTCCCTTTACACCACTGTTCTCCCTCTACACCACTGTTCTCCTCCTACACCACTGTTCTCCCCTACACCACTGTTCTCCCCTACACCACTGTTCTCCCCTTACACCACTATTCTCCTACACCACTGTTCTCCCCCACACCACTGTTCTCCCTGTACAAATATTCTGCCGTTAATTTGTTCTCAGGAACTCATCACTACGCTGTACATCGGCTTCCTGGGCCTGATTTTCTCTTCGTATTTTGTGTTCCTCGCCGAGAAGAGAGATGACCGCGACGACGCTGATGTCCTTAAAAACGACACGCTCAAGACTGACATCACGAGCTATGCTGATGCTCTCTGGTGGGGTGTGGTGAGTGCTCTACTGCATGTATAGTATTATGTTTATTATGTATAGTATTATGCACACAATAATCCGTATTGCTGTACTACTTTTGTATTGTATTAGGAGACCGACATATAGAATTAATAGACTGACATTACGAGCTATGCTGATGCTCTCTGGTGGGGCGTGGTGAGTGCTCTACAGCATGTATAGTACTACGTTTAGCATGTATAGTATTATACTCACAAAAATCCGTGTAGTACGTAATGTATTAGAGGAACGACATATAGAATTAATAGACTGACATAACGAGCTACGCTGATGTCCTCTGGTGGAGCGTGGTGAGTGCTCCGTAGTATATATAGTTTGTATAGTACCACTGATAGTACTTATAATACGTCGTTTAGTATGTATAGTAGGGTGCGCATAGTAGTCGGTATAGTAGGTATGGTTCTACGTCAAGTATGTATAGTACGAAAAGTAGTATAATATGTATAGCACTAGAACAGAATTGAGTCAAATTAGTTTGCTGTGAAGTATTGAATGGAAAAAAGACAGAAAAAAACAATGAAAGTATCAAAATATTTAGTATATTCTTAATTCTAGCTTGCACGCACCTGGCTAACTTCAATTGAAAATGAAAACAATAGAATTGAAAAAATAAAATGAATAATTGTTTTTGAAACCTTCAAGGATTACAGTTATTTGAATGGCCGTTGAGTGATTTAAAAGAAAATTTAAGATAATTTAACAATTATTATAACTATAATGCTATTATTTACTTTATTTCATGTGTATATTCATTGTATCTCAACTGCTATACGCAATATTAATTCCAATGAACAAAAATTTATTTTACTTAGTCCTCTTTATTCTTTAAAATTCATGTTAATAAAGAATATAGTATCTCATAATGAAAATGTTATCATGTTGGCAATAGTGTCAGAACTATAATATTATAATCACTGGCATAATGAAAATATGACCAACATGGCAATACTATTCATAAATATAAATCATAAATATAAATACTATTCATAAATCATAAATAAAATCATGAGACCAGCATTACTATCGCTATGACAACCAAATCTTAAGATATCCGATCCATAAACAATCATGACTGCTTTTTATTTATAATTTTTTATTTTTTCAATATGATATTTGATTAAATAATGATACCTATAATGTGGTGCCCAGATCACTGTAACGACCATAGCATACTTCATTCGAACAATAAGTTGTCATGACTGCATTGTTATTCAACATATTAAAATGTTCATTAACAAGATATATATTGAAATCATGAAACCAATAATATCGTTCCGCATCATTCTTAAGACAAATTCTCACCTTATATGAACAATAAAATATCAAACCTTCTTGTATATTTATAATATTTAATAATATACCGGTAATATATATATTATAAAATAATATATATACATTTTAAACAGATTACATTATTATTTTCAATTATATACTTTTTAAATATTATAAATTGGATATTTATAATATTTAAATCAATAATAATATAATATTTAATAGAATCACGACCCCCATATTACCGTGCCCAGATCACGGTAACGACCATAGGGTACGGTGATGCCGTGCCCCGTACATGGATGGGGAAGCTCGTGGCGTCGTGCTTCAGTGTCTTCGCCATCAGCTTCTTCGCGCTGCCCGCGGTAATATCATCCATATGGAGGAATAAATAATGTCATCCACGTGTAGGATTGAAATAAATAATGTCATCTATATGTAGGATTGGAATAAATAATGTCATCCATATGTAGGATTGGAATAAATAATGCCATCCATATGTAGGATTGGAATAAATAATGTCATCCATATGTAGGATTGGAATAAATAATGCCATCCATATGTAGGATTAGAATAAATAATGCCATCCATATGGAACAGGGATTTGAATAAATAATATCATCCATATGTAACAGGGTTGTGAATAAATAATATCATCCATATGTAGGATTGGAATAAATTAAATCGTCCATAAGGAGAATGGAATTGTATGGATGAAGTCATCCACATGTACAAAATATTTGAACAGATGGAGTAATCCAAATGGAGCAAGGATTTGAATAAACGAAGTCGTCCATATGATGCAAGAATTTGAATAAATTTTATCTTGAATATTTAGCAAGGATTTTAATAGATTGACTAATAGGGAGCACGGCTTTGAAGCAAAAAATATAAATAGGGAGAAGAGACTGGAATGAATAAATTCAATTATATGGAGCAAAGATTTATATTAAGAAAACGTTAATATTGCTTAAATATTTGAATAAAAATCACTCCTATGAATTCAGAATTTAATTATATATATTATGCCGTTTGGTCACTAGAAACTAGCTTAATAAATTACTGGTACAAACTTATATACGATGAATATTATCCTGATTCCAAAATCAACTGATTTTTAAACGAAAAGAAGAGTTTTGTGCTGGAAATTTTCTGAAAATTGATCATTAGCATCGAAGAATAATAAGTTTTAAATTAGAAATAGCACACAATAAATTTAAAGAGCCATAATTTTTTTCGCTGTGAATTTTATGGTTGCATTAATAGCAATCACAAACTCTTCCTGCAATTCCGTATCAATAATTGCAGATTCATTCTCAAATTCGCCAATGTTATGTTTTCAGATTTAAATAATCACATTCATTGCCTCTCGTAGATTCCGTTTATTTCATAATTTTACTGACATTTTGTTTACCTCCTGCACATTTCTTGTTTAAATTTCATGTCAAAATAAAATCATTTTCCTGCATTTTTCGACTGTTTGAAGCTTTTTTGATATAATTACAGGGCATTCTAGGGTCAGGGTTCGCCCTGAAGGTGCAGCAGAAGCAGCAGCAGAAACATTTCTGTATTTTTCTATTGTTTGAAGCTTTTTTTAATATAATTACAGGGCATTCTAGGGTCAGGGTTCGCCCTGAAGGACCTGTTTTTTTCGACTGTTTGAAGCTTTTTTTTATATAATTACAGAGCATTCTAGGGTCAGGGTTCGCCCTGAAGGTACAGCTGAAGCAGCGGCAGAGACATTTATCTATTTTTCGCCTGTTTGATCCTTTTGTATATAATTACAGGGCATTCTAGGGTCAGGGTTCGCCCTGAAGGTACAGCTGAAGCAGCGGCAGAGACATTTATCTATTTTTCGCCTGTTTGATCCTTTTGTATAATTACAGGGCATTCTAGGGTCAGGGTTCGCCCTGAAGGTGCAGCAGAAGCAGCGGCAGAAACATTTCAACCGCCAGATCCCGGCCGCTGCGCTGCTCATCCAGTGCCTCTGGCGCTGCTACGCCGCAGACGCGCACTTCAATTCCTCAGCCACGTGGAAGATACACATGAAGGATCCCAACCATGGCAACCACTCGCAGATTACGCCACTCAGCAAGGTGATTAATTGATTAGTAAGGTGATTAATTAGCAAGGTGAATAATTGACTAGCAAGATGATTAATTGATTAACAAGGTGATTAATTGATTAAAAAGGTGATTAATTGATTAGTAAGGTGATTAATTAATTAGCAAGGTGAATAATTGATTAGCAAGTTGATTAATTGATTAGCAAGGTGATTAATTGATTAGCGAGGTGATTAATTGATTAGCAAAGTAAGAAATTGTTTAGCAAGGTGATTAATTTATTAACAAGGTGATTAATTGGTTAACAAGGCGATTAATTGATTAGCAAGGTAATTGATTAACAAGGTGATTAATTTATTAACAAAGTGATTAATTGATTAGCAAGGTGATTAATTGAGTAACAAGGTGATTCATTGAGTAGCTAGGAAATTAATTGATTAACAATATGACTACTTGATTAGCAAGGTGATTAATTGATTAGCAAAGTGGAATATTTATTAGCTAGTTGGCTTGATGATTAGCAAGACAGTCTGTTGATTAGCACTATGGTGTATCGAACAGCAAGGTGGTGAGTTGATAAGCATGGCTGTCCTTTGACTAACGTTGTGGTCTGTTGATCAGCAAGGTAATGTGTTGATTAGCGAGGTCATATGTTGATTGACGTGGTGAAATGTTGATCAGAAAGGCGGTCTGCTTATTAGCAATTTGGTCTGTTGATGAGCAAGGCGTTCCATTGTCTGTTGATTAGCAAGATGATTGACCGTTGATTAACTAGGCGTTCTATTGAAGAGCAAAGCTGATGATTAGGAAGGGAAGTTGGTATGCTTCTCAGCAAGGTGGTCTGTTGATTAGCACGACGCTGTATTGATCATATAGGTGTGTTATTGATGAGAAAGATGATCTGTTGATTAGCAATATGGTATACTGATTAGCATGGTGCGCTGTTGATTAACTGCTATGAAGGACATCATATTTTATCACTGAAATATTTTTGGAGCTAATTAATCTACTTATAATCTCGTATACTAACAACGACTCGTGATAAATTAAATATTGTAATTAATGTATTAGGACGACGCCGTTGTTGTTATTGTAATGACCTCGGAACTCATGTTCGTACTATTAATACTATCTTGATACCATTTATGTACTATTTATCTGTTAATTGTGGGACGTGCAGAATCTGAATTAAATATACCTATGAAGTTTAGCTTTGATTCAGCCAATTTCAGTATATTCAACCATTTATTTTGAATATTCATCGAATGGATTAATTTATTACCAAATTATCAAATTTATATAATTCATTTAATAAACAAAGATATATTTTTTGAGGTAATAACGGGATATTTCGTTCCAGAATTAAAGAATTTGAGTCCTTTGGCTTCTCTATTCAGCATAAACTTTTTCAAAATTTCAATTGCATAAAATAATAACGAGTCTGTAACACAAAATTTATTCGATATGTAATTAAAGCTTGTCTATCCGGTCGACATGTTTACTTCATAGCGAGTCAGTGTTATTGAATGGCCACGAAATTTTTTTCGTAACTTTTAGCATTCCATCCTAATTTTCTCCTGAATTAGGATGGAAAAACTATACAATATTAATTAATTAATAGATAATGCATAATATTAAACACCCTTATATATTTGATGATCGATGTTCTACCTTCTTACCTCAAGCCTCACAGTCTTCAATTACTGTCTTTAAGACTGAACCGACTAACTATAGTTCTAGAAAGCGACTTGGTAGATAAATTGTAGCCGTATTATTACTGCATTGTAGCCCCTTTTAGCCGTGATTGTTCGTTAACTACAGCTTTATGTTAGCCGGACAAACTGAACATTATACTTAATCCCTAATTATTTCGATAATCGATGTCCAATCTTTTAAACTTATTTTAAAATCTAATTAATGCAACTATATTTCGTACATAAAAAATAGATTTGCAATTTCAAATCATATGCATAGTAATCTTTTCAATAATAACGAATTAGGAACATTAAAAACTGCAAGAAGCTTGATCTTCTATTATAGATGCTCGATGTCGTATTTTTGCACCACTAACACTAACTAAGCACCTAACCAAACCACTTATTGATCATCAACTGTTTAAACTGAATTTATTGCATGCACCATAGTCGTCTAACAGACGTACCTCAACCATCATTATCCCTTCTAAAATAACATATAATAATCCTTTATAAAATAACCCTCTGCATTTTGCAACTCCCACCAGGAAACCTCGTTAACGGCTCCGCTAACTAAGGTGATCTAAAAATTTACTTTAGTTTGCCTTAAATTCGCTTTTAATTCAATATTATTCTTATGTCTCAATTTTTTTAATCAGCTTATACAGCACTTAAACTAAATCATTACAATTCCTGTAGCACGCACGATACCTTAAGCCATCATTACATTTCAATTACCTATACAAATAAAATTGCTTAATTTTAATTCACAATATAAAGTCATAACTTAACACCGACTGTTGTCGCATGGGTTGATTTCCGTAACTGATCATTATTTAACAGATAATGGGAAGCAAAAAATGGCACTAGAATTTAATATTTTGTATAGAAAAATACATTTAGTATACCAGCTCCATTGTCAGTTCGATAATCCTAGAATGGAGCTGGACTCCAAATTTTACTGTTTATAAATATATCGTACTATCTTGTTAGTGTTAGTTTCTTTGCTTTTAAATTCTTGGTTAACCTGCTTTGCATGCAAGAAGTGATCTTATTAAACCACAATTTTACCTTTTCTGATTACCTTCAAAATGTATGTTTCTCAATTTATTGATTTTTCTTTCAGAAGCTACTTTTCAACCTTAAACGCTGTTGTCACAATTGATTCTATTATTTTTACCCCACCTTTAACGTTTTCATTAAAAATATGATGAATTTACTAAGCACATGCTTTGCATTTATATGCTAGGCTAATTTACGATATAAACTTCCCCGTCACTGCTCCTAGCAAGTAGTTTATAGCGATCCACCTGATCATTATCAATATTTATTGCAATACACTTGTTCATTATCAATATTTATTGCCATCCACTTGATCATTATCAATATTTATTGCGTGCATTTTCTCGCAAACTTCCAATTCTTTCAAACTTTTTGTCATAGGTTTTTTAATTCTTTTCGTTAAGCATAATTTTGTCAAGTAAATTGTTAATTTTCATCAGTTTTTTTAGAAGGTGTCTCTTTCTTCTTCTGCACGTATCAGGGAAATGTAAATGGCCTATTAATGAACTACTCATCTCCCTATATTATCACTAATCTTCTTATTCTTAGGGTCAAGGTTTTTTTTGCCCTGCCATTTTTGAACACATCAATTATTTTACTCCACCTTTTAATTTTATATGCACAATTGACTCCACAGTAATTCAAGAAAATATATCAAAATGGCCATAAAATCGTAATTGAACAACGTCCGTTCCCAATTTGAATTGTTTTTACGTCAAGATGTACGTTCACAGATGGCCAAACGAGCAAGCGTTCTTCGACGTCGGAAGTCCAGGAGTAAAATGGATGTCTCTGGGTCTCTGGATCAGCAGCAACAGCCACAAAGTTCCCCGCAGTCTCTGCAAACCACGCCTCAACCACCGGACTCTAATACCACAGACACGGTCTTCTACATGGAAGAAACGCGATCAGGTATTTCGGGCATCTATACCTTACTAAAATTTTCATCTAAATTTCAGTACTTACTTATAGCACCGAACGCAGGTACAGTTGTACCTATACGCATTCCGACAGAATTTTAGTCTCCTGGGACTATACCTTCAAAAAAAGTTAAGAGATCGTAAGTTCATCAGCCAATCATTGACGGCCTTTCTAGCAAAATACACCAATCATAGACAAGAAAATAGAGCGTAAGTACTTACGTTCGCTTAACGAGTTTTGAAAATATGGCCCCAGGTGAAGATTATTTGTTTTGACTTTTGATCTTCAATCATATCGTAATACCCCAGACATTTCGACAATGTTTTTTTCTCCAATCGATAGGCATTATTGGAGTCGATAAGAAATCACTGTGACATCATCATTGGTTCACAAATCTTAATTAAACTTCTATTTTTGCTAAAATACGTAATGCAGCTAATTTGTGATCATGCATTATAAATACGATTCTTTAGTCAATTACGATTTCTGTTTTCGATGTCTACATGGTTTCATTGTAGTTCAATTGCTTCTATCGATGGCTTGTTTAAGTGTAAAATCGATTCAATATTAATTGCTTAATCAGATCTTTAATATGTTGCTTACATTCTGTGCGCATGCTTTGTTTGGTGGTAAATTGTCATGAAAACTCTGGAGTGGGGCCAAAAAAAAATTCAAATATAACAAAATTCTTATATAAAAAATTCTATAAAAATATGAAAAAAGAAGGTTAAATTGCCTGAAATAATAATCATTTCTGAAGCTTCAATTAAGTGCAGTATTTCTTTTCTTTTGGGCCTATCAATTATTGTTGTGTAAACGTCATTGTCGTGTAGTTTAACTTATTTTAGAATTGTTTGTTTCATGTGACTCATACAGTTTCTGTCAATTTCATGCCATAAAATGCCATGTAATACGTGTCTCATCGTTAATTGATGGCAATATTGTTTTTGAAAGTTTTAACATTATTTTACGATGCAATGCTTTTGCCTTTGTGACGATTCCCAACTTTAATCAAGGTCTCAATTTCCCACAAAAACTGTTTAAGATTTTTAATTCCACCGGTCAAGCTTTCTATGGCTTTTCTTTATTTTAATCTGAACGACTTTCCAACTTTCCAACCCCTAAGACACTGCTTCAAGATGGCCATCATTGAAGCGACTTAGAAACCTTTTTCTCGGGACATCACGTGATTCCAATAACCAATCTAACGGAACCTGCAATTTAAATCAGTTAAATGTTATTCCTAACTCCCAAAACCAACACGAATCTTGTTCAAGAATTGCCGAAAGATCCTTCGAATCGCGGACAACAGTCCTTAGCCAGTCAACTGGGAGATCCCTCCAGCCAGAATTTCAAAATTTTGAACTAGGGAGCACCGAAGCAATCTCCAAACGACCGAAGAGCAAATCCCTTCAGTTTGCATCATCACCCGTTAAATATTCAACATCATCAGAAGGTGCTTCGACTTATCAGCCTACACGTGCTGTCTCCACTCAAGCGCTCTCGAAGGTTACATCGCAGAAACAACCCTTCCGACTTCGAGCTCAATCGCTTATACAATCCGTGCATAATGAGTCAGGTTTGTGAGGTCAAGTGCATTACAATCACACACCTCAATTAGAATCTTATATCAAGTCCAGGCTGAGCAATTTTTTTTTCAATTCAAATCGCGAGAAATTTCTTGCTGATTGACATTAAAAGAGTTAGCCTTTTATGGTGATGTACGCTTATTGCGCTGCAAGAAATTTCTCGTTTATTGTATCGATTTTGACTCCGCGTCAATTGTGAGCGGAATCATTTTTCCTTCTGAAGTTAAATAGAAAATTAAAATTTTCAGCTCGGCATGGGCTTCTGTTATGTTAAAAAATACTTTTAAACGCACAATCTTTAGAAAAACGTCGATGCATGACATTAGAGATCTGCAAGCAGCACAGACGTCTGTTCCAAAATCATCGGTGAATCACAGCAAGCTGGACCTCGATTAATGTGTGGCCACCTATGATACGCCTAAGGGATTTTAAAACCTTATTTCCCTGTTTTAACTAAAATGTTATTTACTCTAAAGTGTTTTAACTAAAAGGTTATTTAGTTATGGTCATTATTTTTTACAGTTAGACAGCACTAATTGTATCATGCAGGTTTGATTGATGACGAGAAAATGATTATTATAAACAATTTTCATTTCCTTCCATATGGTTTCATTATTTTCTAAAAAATTCTGGCGAAAGCCTGACTCGATGAATTAAGAAAACAATATGAAAATTGTTTACATGAATTACTTGCTGGCCTTCAATAAAACCTCATTAATTATAGCCATTAACGCACTCAGTTTTAAATGGATAATCGAGATTATTCAGGCTTATAATACTGCATTACTTACGCACCGTGTGAGAACGTGCCATGAAGTTCTGCATGGATTAAAGAACTTGAATAAAGTAAGATGCATGGACTTACCTGCAGTCGATCTTTCTATGATGTTTTGATGAATCACTTTTTTTAATATTGAGTCACATAACAAATATTGCTAGCGCCTATAGAAGATAAATTTGTTAGAATGTCAGCAATTCTTCAAAGTGCGATTTATTTTGATGTATGATTAATTCTTAATTATATGATTCATACATTGTTTAATAGAGCGTCTCCATTAATTGGCCTGTGAAGCACATTTCTGCTCAACAAGAAGTGAAAAGTGAATCCGGTAAAAGTTTTAGCATTTATTTACAGTACCAAAGCTGTATACTTGAAATAACTGACGATCTATTAATTTCTAACTTGATTTCGAACATAGAATTGCATGAGAAATCTTTAGAATTTGTGCAAAATAAAGTGAACACTGTGTACAGTATGCAAGTTATGTTTGATATTTAACATTATAGCTGCCATTCTGTTACACTCTACTTTGGCACGGCTTGAATATAAGTTTTTCGGAGCGGAAAAATATATATCTATTATGTTCTGGATGACTGTCACTTATTTTGTCTTATTTTATTGTGTGTTGACATATTAAAATTAGGCAACACATAATGTTATTATTTGTTATGCTTGTCTAAAAAAATTATGAAATGAGTGTTTCATTGCGTGTAATAAAGTAACGCGTGTTTCACTGTACATTATACATTGTCTCGCGTTAACAATTGCACCAAATGTCATTTACGCTCGTTTTTTTCTTGCAATCTCCACAAAATTTTTTTCAGTACAAAATTTATTTTTCACGTGGCTGCTTCATTCACAGAATTGAGATAAAACACAGACGTTTGCACGGATAAAGTGTGTAGTTCATTTTTTTAACTTTAATTCCATTTTTATTTCGTTTCGATGCGTGATTGGTGGATTTACATGAATAACTTGCAAATAAGATGTTTAATTTTCTATAATTTTGTTTTCAATGATGATTTAATTTTTGATTTAAAAATATTTTTGAATATTTAATTCCGTTTTATTTGAAAAATATTTTCCGTTTTATTTGAAAATAAAACGGAAATCCGGAAAATGCGGTTAGTAAAAATTTTTTTAACAATGTAAAGCAGATTTTTTTAATTACTTTATTACACTACAAATATATTTTTCGGTTTCTAAACCAAATGTTACATTTCCCTTAAATGTTCTACGAAATTTTCAATACTATAGACAAGGTCCTGCCTTGACGAAGTATTGAGAGTTGTGAATGTTTTTTCTTGTGAGTCCGCCAATTTTTTTATGTTGTGCCCCTTTTTACTTCTGTTTTTGATTTGAATAATCATGCGGTTCTATACCTGTTAGTAACTAATTATATCTTCTTGGGAAATATGTTACGATATTTTTCGTGTTTTTTGGTCAACGTCTCACTGTCAGGAAAATTTCAGGAATTACTGCAGCTGTATAAATTGCCATCATTTTCATTTCTGACTATCATTTATTAATTATCAAAGAATTATTATTTAAAGTACAACCAATCAACCAATATGAAATTGTAACATAATTATCATAGACGCAGCACCCATGCAACAATCAAAAACTAATAGAACATTTTTAATGTCCCTCTCTCTAACCAGCTCGCCCCTTATAACCAACACCTACTGTTGCAAGTGTATGGGAATTACCAAGAAGCCAAGTGATATTCATGAATTCATTTGTCTGCCACTTTAATTCGCATGTATATTTCACACTAATTGAATTTTATTATTTATATTACACTAATTAATTTTCACAAGAGAATCACACCCAAATCCATTTTTTCGTAAGTATATTTTAAACGAAGAAATAAAGCATTCATTCCAATCACGAAATAAATCTTAAACGGGGAAAAAACACACAAATTTATTTTACCTCTGAAAAATTTTCTGAAGCCCAGCTCCATCATTAGTTCGAAAAGACTACAATATATGTACGACCAGTTTATTTAAATTCACATAACGGGTATTGACATCTCAATTAACATTGAATAGACATTGTAACTAGAAATAATAGTACGCAAGTAAACTATATTTACACACAATTTCTACCGGTTGAGAATTCCAGTCAGAATTCAAACTGGGCTTCTGTATTAAAATATTTTGGTAATATAAAATTCTTCAGTAGGAAACGCGCGCAATGGAAATTTCGGTCACTATCGAACTTTGCACTACAACTTTGGCTGTACTTTTTGCTTCCATTTCCTGAATTTTCGGATTAGTGAATTTTAGAAAGCATTTAAATTATTTTGTTGATTGATTGATATGTTAACAAAAGCCTTGTTGGTGCTTCTACTTCTATTTCTACGGTTTGTCATCTTCTATGTTTCATTTTTCAATTCAGGTTTTAATTTACAATCTGTGAATTTGGTTGGATTAATCAATCGTACTTGTGTCATAGTATTTTTGAACTGACGATGTGACAATGGACGTGAAAACAGAAAATTTGTTTATAAAAATTTTCTTTTTTGGTGTTCTTTCCCTTTTTCTCTCATGAATTATTGGTTTAACAACAAATCAGGAAGTCCAGTGATTTTAATACTTTAATAATCCAGTGATTTTAATACTTTAATAATCCAGTGATTTTAATACTTTAATCACAATCTTATGCAATTATCTCATGAATCTCACGTTGAAATTATTCCAACCTCTTGATTAAAATTGAAAAATACTTGGCGATCATAATACTTCATCGCAATCTTATGCAGTTATCGCATGAGTCTCACGTAGAAATTATTCAAACATCTTCCTTAAAAATGTAAAATACTTGAACCTTGTTAGTTATTCGGCAGAAATACTTAAAATCCTGGTCATGAGTTTAACACAAATAATTGAAAAAAATCCGTATATTACAATGGGTAAATTTCAAAAATAACACAAAAATAGGTAATTCCTCAAAAAATCAAATACGTGCGATCCAAAAAAATTAAAAATAATTAATACGCTAAAAATATAATCACTATGAGACATAAATACAAAATCTTCCACCATATGTATCACAGTAAAATGAATTTAACATGTATGTCTGTTTCAGAAACCATATGTATCACAGTGAAATTAATTTAACATGTATGTCTGTTTCAGAAACCAAATGTGTCACAGTAAAACAAATCTAACATGTAAGTCTGTTTCAGAAACCATATGTATCACAGTAAAATAAATCTAACATGTATGTCTGTTTCAGACGCCCGATCAAGGAGAGAAGGCGACCTGGTCTCACAGGGAGGCGGGCTGCTGTCCAGAACTTCTACGCTGCACAGCCAAGCGTCCAGCGGCACCGAGGTCGCTTCAGACGACATCGACTTGGACATAGAGGAGCCCAGGGGACTAACAACGTGGGGAAATACTATATATGAATTATATTAATTAGTTAGTGAGGTATATGAATTAGTTGGCCAATTTAGTAAGACACGTTAATAATTAAAAAGATGAATATTTCGAATTAGATGGTTGCATTGAATATAATAATGTTATATGATTAATATCAATTTTAAATACAATAAACCACTGATTTATTGTGGTTTACTGGAATTCATATGATTCGTATATATTAATTATATGAATTAGTTAGTGAGGTAAATGAATTAGTTGGTGAGGTATATGAATTTGTTAGTGAGGTAAATGAATTAGTCAGTGGGGTATATGAATTATTTAGTGAGGTATATGAATTAGTTAGTGAGGTATTTGAATTAGTTAGTGAGGTATTTGAATTAGTTAGTGAGGTATAGGAATTAGTTAGTGAGGTATATGAATTAGTTAGTGGGGTATATGAATTTGTTAGTGAGGTGTATGAATTAGTTGGCCAATTTAGTAAGACACGTTAATAATTAAAAAGATGAATATTTCGAATTAGATGGTTGCATTGAACATAATAATGTTATATGATTAATATCAATTTTACATACAATAAACCACTGATTTATTGTGGTTTACTGGAATTCATATAATTCATATATATATTAATTATATGAATTGGTTAGTGAGGTAAACGAATTAGTTAATGAGATATATGAATTAGTTAGTGATGTATATAAATTAGTTAGTGAGGTATATGAATTAATGTGAGGTATATGAATTAGTGAGGTAAATGAATTAGTTAGTGAGGTATATGAATTAGTTAGTGAGGTATATGAATTAGTTTGTGAGGTATATGAATCAGTTAGAATCTATGAATTAGTTAGTGAGGTATATGAACTAGTTAGTGAGGTATATAAATTAGTTGGTGAGTATATGAATTAGTGTGAGGTATATAAATTAGTTAGTGAGGTATATGAATTAGTTAGTGAAGTATATGAATTAGTTTGTGAGGTATATGAATTAGTTGGCCAATTTAGTAAGACACGTTAGGAGTTAAAAAGAGGAATATTTTGAATTAGATAGTCGCATTGAATATAATAATTTTATATGATTTATAACAATATTATATACAATAATCTGCTGATTTTTGGAAAATACTTATAAAATATGGTTAGTACGAGCATGAATAAAATCGAATGGTTATGAAGATTAATAATTATTAAGTATTCGATTCCATCGAGATTATATTGTTTATGGCTGTTACTGTAGTATGCCAATATAGCAATAAATCATTTGTTCTGATACTTTGCAGCAAATAAATATTTTTATGGAATGCGAATTGTATATTTTAATATCATATCGATGATAATAATTAATAATAACACCGAACGCTATGTTTAACGGAAAAAATTCTTAATTGCAGCGCTCATATTGCTGTCCAATCTTAGCTATTTCAAAACAACTTGCTCAATTTTCTCGCGAAAATTGTTTCTAAATGAAAATGCGTTGAGGTTAATTGCGATTCTGCAAAACTTTAATCAAATATTCTACTAACATGCGAATTTCGAAGAAATAAGACTAAACTACACTGTAGGAAAAATATCAAAACAAAACTGAATATAAAATTGTAACTTACCAAACGAAATAAGAAATTGCAAAGGACCAAATAATTGAACGATGTGGAATGTTTAAGTCTCCTAAATTAGATATACAAACTATATATTATAAAACTGCAACTAAGGTGCTTCGGGGTATGTTCTATCGTTATACAGAGGCAATCAAACTGACAAACTGTCCTGTCTATTGAAGGGGTGAACACTCCTGACATGTTTCAAATAAATTTCAAATACCTTTCAAATCCATAATTTTTAAATGCTTTGGACTGCAATTTTGACATAAATTACTATATAAAGTACAACGATTGCTATTTAACAATTTTCAAATTTTTTTCAGGCTAACAGACGCTCACCGGAACGCCATCAGAGCAATACGAAAAATAAAATATTTCGTCAGTCGACGAAAATTCCAGCAGGCGAGAAAACCGTACGACGTGAGAGACGTCATCGAGCAGTACAGTCAGGGTCATGTCAACATGATGGTTAGGATTAAAGTGAGTCAAATAATGTGTCATGTCATCGAGCAGTACAGTCAGGGGCATGTCAACATGATGGTTAGGATTAAAGTGAGTCAAATAATGTGTCATGTCATCGAGCAGTACAGTCAGAAATATGTTAACATTTATTATTAAATAATAACATACTCTTCAAATTGTAATAAGCAGTGTTACAAGATTATCATTAACTGGGTTATAAAATTATACAAGAAATTGTAGTAACATCAACAGGGATTGCACATTAACAGCAATATAACGTGATTGCACAACGTATGAAATGTTTCGCTTCTATTTCCCTATTGTGATTTATTCCCCTATTTAGTGTGTGATGTGAATCTTCTCCTGAATTTATACCATAATTTTGAGTGGTTTTAATGCTTCGTAGAATATTTTCCACTCTATTTTATTATAAACTAACCCTAATAGGCTCATGGAATCAATAAAATTGACACATGAGAATTAATAATCTGGTTAAACAATATTTTAAATAATATTTGCTCTGCAAAATTTTAAATCACCTTAGCTCCCACAAATTTATGAAGAAATAGGCTGATGAAATTTTTATATATGATAAGCTCCAATAATTCTTGCCGATGATATGCTTATTTATGAAAAAAAAATGGCTTATGAAATTTTTCAATGTAATAAGCTCAAACAACTGTTTCAGATGATTCGCTTATAATATTACTAAATTTAATTAAATCATAAGATCATTTGACAAAAGCCTCATAAAATAACGACCTCAGGAGCTGCAGCGCAGGCTCGACCAAACCCTGGGCAAGCCTGGCAGTTAATATTAATAAATTTAATTAAATCATAAGATCATTTGACAAAAGCCTCATAAAATAACGACCTCAGGAGCTGCAACGCAGACTCGACCAAACCCTGGGCAAGCCTGGCAGTTAATATTATTAAATTTAATTAAATCATAAGATCATTTGACAAAAGCCTCATAAAATAACGACCTCAGGAGCTTCAGCGCAGGCTCGACCAAACCCTGGGCAAGCCCGGCAGTTACCTCGCCGGCATCGACAAGTCTGGCAACGTTCGCCCCATGACCATCGGGGCCAGGCTGTACAGAGTCGAGCAACAGGTGATCACTATATGCTATTAACCCTCTAAGGTTAATAGCCTTAAGGTTAATAAGGTTTATAGCCTTAAGGTTAATAAGGTTACAAGCCTTAAGGTTAATAAGGTTAATAGCCTTAAGGTTAATAAGGTTAATAGCCTTAAGGTTAATAAGGTTAATGTCCTTAAGGTTAATAAGGTTAATAGCCTAAAGGTTAATAAGGTTAATAGCCTTAAGGTTAATCATTAACCTTAAGGTTAATAATAATAAGGGTTAAGGTCACCTTAACCGTTAAGAGGGTTAAGGTGACCTTAACCCTCTATACCCAGTGAAAATTTACAGATGCGTAGCTTCTGATTTGGGGTACCGGAAGCTGGAGGCGACTCTAAATTTTGTTAGGGTAACCCTCTACCGCCTGACATGAGTAACCGGAGTGATATTAGTAGTATAATAATATTACTAATATAATATAATAATATTAGTAACCGGAGCAATTTTAGTAGCATATTACTATCACTTATATAATATAATAATATTAGCAATATTAATAATATTAGTAACCGGAACAATATTGGTTGTAGATTGATATTCCAAATATAATAATATTAGATTATTCTTAAAATTAGTAACCGGAGCAAAATTACATATATAATATTATAATAATATTAGTAACCGGAGATATATTAGTTGTATATTAATGTTACTAAAATAATATAGTAATATTAGTATTATTAATAATATTAGTAACCGGAGCAATATTAGTCGTATATTAATATTACTAATATAATATAATAATAATAGTATTATTATTAATATTAGTAACCGGAGTAATATAAGTAGTGTATAAATATTACTAATATAATCTAATAATATTAGTGATATTAATAGTACTAGTGACCGGAGCAATATTAGTAGTACATATATATTATTAATATAATATAATAATAGTAACTAGAGCAATATTGTCACACAAGTGTAGCCGAAAAGGATAGGTTCTAGTGAGCGCAAAATGACTTGCACCGATGGTTGCCGCCACGTACGACAACTTTAAAATGTTCTCTGTTGCGTACAAACATCCTCAGGTTGCTACACTCAATAGTTTACGTATAATTTGCCGCCACGTACGACAACTGTAAAATGTTCTCTGTTGCGTACAAACGTCCTCAGGTTTCGTATAATTTGCCGCCACGTACGACAACTTTAAAATGTTCTCTGTTGTGTACAAACGTCCTCAGGTTGCTACACTCAATAGTTTACGTATAATTTAACTTGAAAGTTATGTTCCCGCAGAGTGACATACGGCGGTAGAGGGATAACACGTTGAGTGTGGCTCGACCCCACATAGCTGCCAGATGGCCTAAAAACGGCCAAGTCCGCTGACAAAAATGCCTATAATTCAATAAATACAAGTAAATTTGTAGGTTCCGGTGCTAAAATTTAATTTAAATTTCACCGTATTTTTTACAATTATGGAAGTACCGATATCATAAATTTTTGCCGGCCAACGCAATTGAAAAGACTATACCTACCGCGGAATTTGTAATAATATGGAAGCATTGATTTCATAAATTTTTGTCGGCCAACGTCACTGAGAAAACTAAATCGCGGAATTTGTCCGGAAAAAATACCCATCAGGCCAGCGGTGGGTTGTGCTGCACTCAACGTGTTAAGGCAGGAAAAATTATATCACTACAAACTCTAATTAATTTAATCTATTAGCTTTAATCTATTAGCTTTAATCTATTTTTAATCTATTAGCTCTTGTAGCAGTTGCCTTTCTTATTATTACATCTATAGAGGAGTCCAGGGCGCAACTATACTCATTAATAAAAAAATTTTGAGATAAGTTACGAAAGTAGACCAGCTCTATACCAATGAGTATACTGCTGATCTACATCTATAGGGAATATAGGACTAGTCTATCTAATATACATTTAGATTACCATGGAAATTACAATGGAAATTTCAATTTATATTAAGAAAATTGCCGTAGTAGACGATAAAGCGCAGCAACCTCGTCTGTGTAGGTCAACTCCAACCTTCTTTCATCTTGCTCATCAAAATCAATTTTTCGTATACACACACATCAATGGCTTGCGATATGTCTTTTAATCTGTATAAAAACTGTATACAAGATAAAGTTGGATGACATTTAAATTGAATTTACAGCAAGCCATCTTTTTATTCATGAAACGAAATTTTTTAATCACGGTTACTGAAAATGCGTTTAATTTTGAATTTTAATTTTTACTGAAAATGTTTTTCTTTTGCAGTTGCAATCACTTGACAAAAAACTGGACCAGATCGTGATATCCTGCAACTCACTTGCGGATCCCCAATGGTCGAAGCGAAAATCTTTGCCAGATTCTATTCCTAACGAAAATCCTGTCAATTATCTGAGATCTCATACAACCAAAGTGGTCAGCCCAAAAATGACGCTTGAAGAACGACAAAAATCTTCTACGTCACATGAAGCCGCAACCTGTATCGTGGATAGTGAAATTTTGACAGGATTTGGAGCACAAGAATCATCGGTGATGGGAGGAGAATCGAATTTGGATGTGGAAACATTACCAGGTAGTGGATGTGTAAAAAGTGAGGTATACCCATTCACTGTTGGACCCCCAACTGACGCGACATCTGTGAGGGGGCTACGTATATCAAGCTCTTTTTCAGAAAATGGTACAGAGCAAAGTCAAGAAAATGAAGATGGTTTTCGAAGAACCGCTTCATCGTTTGACATGCCCAACGACGGACCGAGTGAATTTTCTAGTCCATTTCCAGGCACAGCCAGGAGCCAAGAAGCAGGGAATCCACAATCTTTTACTTTATTTCCCCCTAGGACATCCTCACCCGCATCAGGAATTATTGCCCCGATCGCCTTACCAGAATTTAAAAGCGACGAAGATTCAATATAGCCACCGCTGAATCAACTTGATCAATTCAATACCATCACGTGTCGAATAAGATTCATTATAGAGAATAATTTGTTGGTAAATAGTGAAAAACCTTTGGTATATTATATATGTCCATGGACAATTCGAAATTCCACATATCATGGCGTTAAAATATAAGGCTAAGTAAAATCATCTTTAAAAGATTTTGACCTTAAACTTTGACATTCGCTCTTATGCTAACGAAACTAATTTATGCAGTAATGAGAACTTTATCAGTAGATACCTTTGTGAATCCTTTTGAGTAACTACAATTCAATTTAATACATGTTGTTGAACGTTACGCCAAATGTGTTTCCACTCGATTTTTTATTCGTTATTTCAATCTTTGATGATTAATGTTAAGAATTTATTTGATGATTGCATTGGTCACATACGCAGCTGTGAGTGAGTTCTGCCGATGCTATGCTACAGTAGAATATTTCTTTATTTAAATAGCGAAGAGAGCGTTAGTAGAATAAGGTCCACTCTTCTTTAAAGTATCACACCATTTTAATTCTAAGCACAGAGCTTTATCACCCTTTATAATAAAACTTAAAGACTTCCTCCTTTAAAAACTATACAGCAAGAAGGTGTTACCTTCCTCAAATTAACATTAATCTCTAAAGAAATACAAATATTTAACGTTTTATGCATTTTGTGCAATTAATTTTTAACATTTTATTATTTATTTAACATTGCTGGTTTCAAAACAAAATCAGATCTTTGAAGGGTAACTCAACAGGAACCATTCAACTTGTGAAAAATCAGCCACTTTCTTAAGGTTCTAATTTGGATAAGATTGTTGCATTCTTTGCATAGATATTTTTTATTTATGAATGCTTTATACAAGAACTGCTTAAAATATTTTTTCAAAATTGTGAAAAATTTATCGCCGTAAATTTCCAGACGGTTAATTGAAAATATCTTTGCAATAATATATAAGAAATTTTTTCATCGTCTCTCTAAATATGTGTATGAATATTTTTAGAATGAATAGTTAAATTCCTGAACAACTATTTTTCATGAATGAATCTGGTTATTAACTCTCTAGGTGTGGCTTGCTATGGAGGACCAATTATTAATAAAGCTATTTAAGTATTAATAAATCTAGTATTGTATTAGTATACTAGTTTCTTCTGATGTCTATCTATAGTGAAACGTAAATTTACTTCTGGTTGAAACATAAACATAGGCCAGTTTCACACAAAAATTTACATAGCAATTTATCTGCAGCCGTTTGATTGCAGGCCAATTTCAACTGAGACTTTTAATAGAGTATTTCTCCTCATATTAGTAATTGACTTCATTACTCTGATAACCCACGTATACCCTTTGATATTTATGGGTATACTAGATTTTAAACTACCGTTTTTCACAGCTCGAAGATAACGAAAGTGTAATGCGATAAGCTCAAACTCTTAACGGTCGGGATGACGTGAAAATTTAGCGGAATAATTTGTGATTACAATATTGTTTTATAGGTTGAGTTTTGGGTTAAACGATTGGTAAGAGGTTTGACGTAGTACTGAAATGCTTAAATTGAAATTATTCGTGAGAAAAGGCTTGCTATTTTCCGAAGCCAGACTCTAGTCATGCATATGCTGTAAAAGTAAGTCAGCTCTAGGCAATAATATATCACATTCATTCAATTAATTTAGTTGTTTAGCCGCAGAATGTTAAGCTTTCAAGAGAAGCAACCACGAATATCAGTAGGGATGTTGCCCTTTGTATTTTTAAGTCATTTTATAAGCGTGGTTTCAGAGTCACCTGCCTATATCCATACCTATATATTTACTCATAGTTGATATTCTAGGGATGTATTTCACCTATTCAACTTAGAACCACCAGCATAAACTATTGATCTCAATCACCCATCACATGTTAACCTAAGATTTATTTATTATTGTATATTAGACTTCTCTAGTAATGTGCACATAACATCAAATCTATAAGTATTGCATTTATTAATTCATGATTAAAGAACTACAGATATAGAAACGTTGGCCCTCGAGTCAATAATTGTTAATAAGGGATCATTTTTGCGATTTAGCAAGAAGCTTGAGAAAATTTTATAAACAAATGATAGATTAAATGCATTTTATAAGAGACATGACTATATAAAATGATGAAGCTATTCATATATCAGGCTGTAAGAGTCGTCTGCTGATGCTCTAATCGTCAAACATTAAGAGCCGTCATGCATGTTGGGTCCATGATAGGCTAACACGTGCCTCGAACTAGAATCAGAAACTGATGATTATTGCTAACGAGTAAATTACTTTATCGGCAATTCTAACAGCAATTTTTTATCCCCAAAGTTCAAATATTTCTGCCATGATCATTTTTGGGACCTGAAAGTTCACCCAAACATTTTCAAGTAAAATTAAATGCAAAAACCTTGTATAGGAAAAAAATTTAGCGGAGTAAAGTAAATTTCTAATATTTTAAATTTGGAATAATAACCAAGCTTACCCTGCCGCTCATTTCTACATAAAATATTGTCCTAATAATCTTTATGATTTTCTTCGTGAGTGCACGTAAATAAATTTTGTTAGATGCTACCCTATCAAAATTTTTATTCCTGTCAGCCGCTGGCACAAGGACGCCTCAAGCTCGCCTAACGGTGTAAATTATATGTACCAGCTTAACCCTGCACACCATACAGCTTTAGAATGAAATCATTGCAAAAGTTTTATTTTTATTTTTGTAGATAACGCATTGTGAAATATTTCTGACTTTCTTTTGGTATTCACTTGACGAGAGTAGTAAGATTTACTTGATGAATTTTAATTTTTCCAGAATTGTTTCTTTCTCAAAAGGGTATCTGTGGTTATCCATTAAACTTGAATGAGAGGCAAGTTATATCGTCAGCTGAGTAGCGACGATAAATCATAAGTGACTAGAAAATTTTACAAAGTAATTATCGTCAACCTGCAAGTCAAGAGTGGTCAGTTATCATTTTGTCAAGTTCATGGTTTGACTTGCAAGTTCATGGTGTAAAATTCTCAGTAAGAGGATTTTAAAGTTTCGTTTCAGTAAGAAGTTGAATAACACCATAAATCCATCCCTCCAACATTTCTCTGGTACAATATTTTCATTTGTTTCAACATCGAAACAATTCCTGCCAATATTAAAATATTACTGTCCATTAATACCCTATTTATACTTGTATTTATACTTCTTAGATGACTGTGAAAGAGATTGAATGTGAAAAGTTTATTTAAGTATTCAGATCATGTGTCTGTAATGAATGTAATATGAGGGAGATTTAACATAAAGTATTTATATTAATACAGTTCGCAATTTTAAATGTTCGTCCTGAATTGTTATTGCAATATGATTATTGAATAAATATTGTTCTTTAATCCATGCCTTATTAATGAGATAACATCAATTTAAATTACTAATTATTTTACTTTTATTGAAGAATTCCATTATTTTCCATATAAAATTAACATAGCAACAAATTTTCACTTTGCTACAAAAACAAGGTTTCGAGGTTACGATGTTGCAGTTAATTCAGTTCACCAGTTTTCATGTAGAAAAATTATAGTAATTAAAGGAGTTTTATAATTGAATGACAGGAAGATCAGTAAAAAAAAGATTTTTAAGCTCATTTTACTCGAATGAAGCAAAAAACAGACAGCTTTAACCAGCAAAAAGCATTAAATGGATCACATTACAAACTTTAAGCCGCCGAACAGCCATTAATTTCCATAATATATTACATACATATTTTCAAACCAAATTTAGATTTTGCCTTTATGCATGCGATAATATTTGCATTCGCGAATACACAAAATACATACATTTGCTGAATACATATTTACATATGATAAATTTAACAATGCCAGGAATACGGTAAAGGTTTCCTATGGAAGTTAACCACAGTGGGAATAGCGTCTATTTCTAATTCAGGTTAATTGCTTTAACACTCTTCAATTTCCAATGCGTAAAGAGATAATTTTTTAGAAAAAAAATTTTAATACGTAAACTAAGCAAAGTTCTGTATCAATTTTCTATCTCGTAATCGTTAATGAATCTCAATTAATTTTTTTATATGGCTAGATGTGAATGTCATACTTCAAAAAATCCATTATTTTTTATATGGCTAGATGTAGATGTCAAACTTCAACAATCCATCTAACGTATTGAATGTAGGTATATAACATATGCTACTACAACTCTCTGCTCAAATTTGTACCGCTTTCCTTGCAATTTTTAGTGTTCGCTGAATATCATATTCAATTATTTTACTTTTTCCAATGAACTTCTCACTGGGAATCTCATTAAATTTCATTCTATTCGTGAGTTTTACATTGCATCGTGGGTACTCTTCTGAATTCGTAAGTTTTTATTACCACCGTAGACATTCTTTTGTATTCGCTAGTTCTACTTTCCATCGTAGCTATTCCTTTGTATTCGCGAGTTCTAATTAGGATCATAAATGTTCTTTTCTATTCCCGAGTTCTACTTGGCATCTTCGACATTACTTTTTATACATTAGCACTGCTTGGAATTCTATGCTTATGAGTTTAACGTGAGTGACATCGCGGATATTCTTTTGCATACATGAGTTCTAATCTACATCGTATATATTCCTCTACGATTGTAGGTTCAATATGGCATGGTGGATATATTCATTTAAATTCGTATTCGTCATCATAGATATTTTTTCGTATTCATTAGTTCTAATTGGCATCAATAATCTTCCCGAACTCTGAGTTGACGATATCGTAGAAGTTTTCGGCTTCAGAGCAGGGCAAGGCCGCGAGTTCTTCACTGCACGTCAGACTCGCTTGGTCGAAGATTGTTTGGTTTCCGCAGACGAAAGAAAAATGCGCCGTCTCGACGATCTGGCCAACGTCGTCTTCGATAGGCAGGCAGACGTGGAAAATCTGACAGTCGTTATCGGTATCGGCGTAGTAACTGCGAGGAATGTACGAAGAATATGTTTAAATTGAGATGTAGGAGTATCAATAATTGTCGGTATCGGCGTAGTAACTGCAAGGAATGTACGAAGAATTAATTTAAATCAGTACGTGAGTATTGATCAAGGGGCATGGAATTTCGCAGCCCATGAAATAAATTTATTGGCAAGTCTAAAGCTTCTCAGGGTATTTAATAAATTTATAAATAATTACTTCCCTATAATCTTTCGTTTTCGATCGATAGAGTTATCAACAGAAAATTTGTGGCAATCAAATCTTGAGTCTAGTCTAGCGATAATATACTGAGAATTCGAATCATATGAGTCCTTAAATTTTGTGTTTAACATTAATTTATAAAAAACAGCAACATGTAATTTGTACATACAATTTTCTTCTCTCACATTGATATAAGAAATGATGCATTCGGAATTTTTTGGACACACATCGAATAGAAACATTCATACTCAGTAATCAGCATGTTTTAAGTCAATTTAGGAAATTCTGGATTTTCCAATATCGCGGATACTTTCTTTTGGGAGCGAACAATAAAATCAAATGCCAGAACTATTAAGTATATCAATTTCCATCGTTATTATTGTAACAAATGCGTGAATTGTTCAGTAAGTGTCATATAATTTTTTTTTCACAGAAAATTTAACATTTAATCTTGAAAACATTTAGAATGGACGGAAGCAATTTCAATAATTTTTCCTCTCTAAACACGTGGAAGTACGGCTTGTAGGATCCGATTTATATAGTTTTATTAACAGGTACATTCAGCCTATTCATTCCTAGATCATTGCAAATTTCTATTCAAAAACAAAAGAAATATTGAAAAGAAACGTTCACATTATTGAAGTTCTGCGTTTTGGATTCAGCTTTAAAAATATAGTCAAATCCCTCATTTGTGAGTTATTTTTATATTTCATTAACACATAACGCCGACAATTGTTGTCGAAGTTCCGTGTATTGAATTTTGATTTAAAACATGGATACGTCTTTTATGTGCGGGTTTTTATTATATTTTACGTATACGTATCTTCTGCCATCGTAGTTAATCACGGCTCTTAAAAACACACTTTAATGCTTCATGTGTTGTAGGGTTTATTTCTATATTTTACCGGAGTTCCGCTCTTAAAAACATTGATAAATCCTTCATGTGTGGAGTTCATTTTTATATTTTCCCAGAGTTCCGCTCTTAAAAACATAATTTTATCCTTCATGTGTGGGGGTTATATTTATATTTCCCCAGAGTTCCGCTCTTAAAAACATGGTATTATCCTTCATGTGTGAGGTTTATTTTTATATTTTCCCAGAGTTCCGCCCCGAAAAACATAATTTTATCCATCATGTGTGGGAGTTATTAGCGCATTTTTTTATTTATGGAAAAAATGCGCTATTGTGCTCGCCATGTCCGTCTATCCGTCCGTGACTTCACGTTTTCTTTCTGTCACTCACTGCCGTGAGTACTCAGTTATATTTTTTTATATATTACGTACCCGTAACGTCGACCCTCGCAATTAAAGTTCTGCGTGTAGGACCGGCCCTTATTAAGGATAAATTCAGCGCCATCTGGGAGCTGGTATGCCATCCGTGCGCCGGCGGTGGCCACAAGTAGAGCGAGGAGGGCAAGCACGGGGCGAGACATGGCGGGCGTTGGGAGCTAGGATGTAAAATTTAAATTTATACAAAATGTTAACACTTTCAAATTAAAATATACCGTAAATGATCAAAACTTATGAAAATATCAAACTTTTGTTCGAATATCAAATTTTCAACATCAAATATCAAAATATAAACACTTTTGAAAGAAACCGATAAATGAAACAATACAGTCTTGACTGGGGTCGGGTTGTAAAAAAAATGTTCGACACAAAGGTCAAAACTTTCAAATTAAAGCGTGAAGCTAAATGATACATTTTTTTCTTTGGCTGGGGCTTGCACATCTGATGCAGAAGTGGTTCTAGACGACTATCAGTGGAAGTAAAAATAACGCTTTGAGGTCAATTTTGTATCACTTGGAAAATACGACACTTGAATTTTCGTCCGTGCTTAGATAAACTGAATGAATGAGGATCAAAGAAGTTTTCACTCTTGGCCAACGAGATTTTCAGGGATAAAATGATGATAAACCGGAACTGGAAGGAGAATTTCATTGATAAAACTAATAAAAAAGGGAATTTCTTAGCGTGATTAAGATAAATACGTTCAGGTAAATACGATAAATGATAGTAGTTAAATACCCAGGTAAATACGTTCAGTAACATTTACATTAGTTACGCTTGATTTTTACATGACTTTATGAATAAATAAAGACTTTGGATTGTAAGTCGGGATTGCATTACGTAATGTGAACAATACCGGACTTTTCAGAGGTGATTTCCGAGGCAGACGTGGGCAAATTTTTTATTTAAACTAAAACTCAACACTTCAAAATCTGTATACGGTAATTTATAAATAAATAATTGTTCTTATGCACACGGACATCAAGAATTGTACAGTTAACACAAAATATTTCACTGCATTCTAGAAATCGGTAATGCAAAATAAATTCATATTGATGATATGAAATATATATGAAATTTTCAAATACGTTAAAATTTTAGTCAAGTGAAATTTTATAGGCCACTCGGTATTTTTTAATTCGAATATAAAACCTATGTAATGTATTGTAAGCATGCCAGCAATAGCTTCAAACTGACTTCAGAAGAAACTTGATTTCACAAATGAAGAATGCAGTCTCATGCATTTGATGCATCAAATGCATCACACTGCATCAAATGCATCACACTGCATCAAATGCATCACACTGCATCAAATGCATCACACTGCATCAAATGCATCACACTGCATTAAATGCATCACACTGCATCAAATGCATCACACTGCATCAAATGCATCACACGGCATCAAATGCATCACACTGCATCAAATGCATCACACTGCATCAAATGCATCACACTGCCATGTCCGTCTGTCTGTCTGTCTGTCTGTCTGTCTGTCTGTCTGTCTGTCTGTCTGTCTGTCTGTCCGTCCGTCTGTCCGTCCGTGACCCCAAGTTTTCGTCGACGAGAAAATGCGCTCTCTGTCACTCACTGCAGTGAGTACTTAGTTATATTTTTTTTATTTTAAAACGGTACTTACTTTAAAAAACAAGCCTCGTATAAAACTAATACCAAAAGTCGTAAATAATTATTTTCTGAAACAAGGAATAATTTTTTCCGAGAGAATGAATAATTTCAACGTACCACCATGGTCTGCAGCACTGCTTACCTCTAAAAAACACGCCTCGTAGAAAACTAATACCATAAGTCGTAAATAAATTATTTTCTGAAACAAGGAATAATTTTTTCCGAGAGAATGAATAATTTCAACGTACCACCATGGTCTGCAGCACTGCTTACCTGTCGTAAGTTTGGTCTGTCACTCGTGGGTCTGCGATGGCGCTGGGCTTTTTTAAAGCCCCAGCGTCGACCTCAGCCCGTAGACCTTCAGGGAACTGGCCGGGCCAGCGTCCTGTTGCTGCCCTCGAGACCTCGACACAAGCGTGTTGCGGTATCCTGGATACCATCTACTATTTTTATTGGTTTTTGCTGCATTTTTTCATGTATCCTGATTACTGTGTACCCTGATTGTCGAGTATCTAGATTGCTTGGTATTCTGATTGTTTTGTATTGTGATTGATTTGTATCATTATTTTTTTGTATCCTGATTGCTTTGTATCCTGATTGCCTTGCATCCTGATTGCTCTGTATCCTGATTGCCTTATATCCTTATTCCTTTGTTTCCTGATTGATTTGTATTCTGATTGCTTTGTATCCTGATTGCTGTGTATCATAAATGCTTTGTATCCTGATTACTTAGTATCCTGATTGCTTTGTATCCTGATTGCTTTGCATCCTGATTGCTTTGTATCCTGATTGCTGTTTATCCTGATTGCTTTAATTCCTGATTGATTTGTATTCTGATTGCTTTAAGTCAGTGTAATCGTAATTTTATGTTTTATGATCTTTTAGTGGTACGTCTTAGGTTTACCAGCATTTTATTCAGTTCTGAAAGCATCGCATTAGCCAAAATGGTGTACAAAATTTTTAATTTTCATTTCATTACAACAGTGGCTTGGATGCCTTCTGTCAGTCAAAGTTATTTCTCATTCAATCAGGCATACTTACTGCAATTTTTACGTTTTCATCCGGTTTTGTATCAAAGTATTTAATTTGAATATTGCGTTTAGTCTGTTACATTTTATGGTAGGATCTATAGCGGACTGTTGCATTTCGACGCGCAGGCTTTATTTATCATTTGTTTGCTTGGATGTTATTGAATCATTTATTTCTTTTATAAAATATTCAATATTTGATGCCAGATGTGCATATAAAATTATCTTAAATGATGCGAACACACGTCGTTCTCGTCACTGGAATACATTCTAAGGATTTTTTATTCTTCACTAGCCTAGCTTTTTTCTGTTTTCTAACGACATATCCTATTTAATATCAACATATCACATTTCATATTAACATATCCTATATCATAGGACCTTGTCTTCTTCCTTAACCTTTTATTCTATTCCTTAGCCACTTATCACTTTCCTTTTCCAATAGGTACTGAAAATATTTTCCAATACTGAAAGTATTTCAAGATGTAATCATGATTTAGATTTTTACATATTTTTTCAAATTTATTGGCAAACGTTTTTGCAGCATTCAATAAGCACTTTCAATTTTTCGAACATGTTTCTATTATGTTTTCGAACTTCTAGACTCGAAATAACTTAGGACAAAATAAAAGCTGGCCAAAATATAAGGCGGCTCTTATTATAAAAATTTCGCTATCAACTAAATATATTATTTATTAATTTATTTTTTATTGATAGAATATATGAAGAGAACAGCAAAAGATGTAAATGGCAATTTCAGAAGTAAAAACTTTTTCTCTACTCATGTCTATTAATAGATATATTTTAATTCTTATATTAACACGTTGAATCCGAAGTGGTACATATGCGTACCACGAAGTGTATTTCTCCAGGACATAGTGGTACATTATTCAGGGTTGCCAGAAAAACTAAAAACGTCCAAATCCGCGAACAAAAATAAGGCCAAAAAATGCCTATAACTCAATACATACTTGTATATTTGTAGATTTCGGTGTGAAAATTCCATTTATTTTTGCAGTTTTCAAAATTTAATTAGAAAGTACCTAAACAAAAAATTTTGCCGGCCACCACAATTGAAAAAAAAACTAAATCATAGAATTTGTCCTGGAAAAACGACTGTCTGGCCTCCCTGTTTCATAACAGTACAAAAAATGAAATAATATTACAAGATGAAGCAAAATTGGAGTCAACGTGTTAAAGAGTTTTCTCTTCATACATAGATCGCCAGAAGCCAGAAGCTCCATCACACACTTAAGGTCAACGTCGCACTTCGCATGCAAATGAGGGAGCCCTTGTTCCGTGCAAGGGCAGACAAGTTAAAATTATTACCAAAAAGCAACAGTTAACATTAGTAGCGTCACACTGTACGCTGTACTTACGAACTAAAGTACACTAAAATTATTACCAAAAATCATCAGTTAATATTAGTAGAGTCATGCTGGACGCTGTACTTAATTACGAAGTAAAGTACACTCTGTAGCATATAAATATAAATAAATATAAATAGCATATAATATAATATATATATTATAATAATTATATAATATATATAATATAATATATATTATATCTAATAATAAAATAGCATATAATATCCTCTGGAAAGTCACTGTTTCTCTACCGTATACATGTGCATTGGTACAAACTATCTAACTTTCAACAAACTGATTCACGACTTACAGCGCTTAATATAATAATTTGTACTAATTTTTCCATTTTGTGCAGTACACCATCCGTAATCCAACGGATCACAGCAATGAATTATAAAATTGAACAGCTAAGTTCAGCAAACGTAATGTAGATCTGGGTAATTACGTTACGTTATGAATATTATTCTGTACCCTGAAAATTAACGTGAAAATACATCTTTAATAAAATATGTTGAACTATATTCTTAAGGTTTATCAAAACTGCATGAAAAAAGTTGAAAACTTAAACAAAAGCTTACATAATTATAATAATAAATAATATAATAATATTAATAATAAATAAACCTCTGGACAGCTATCGAAGTATTTAAATAAGTAAATCAAAATGCCTGGAATTCAGACCCACAAAAAATCATGTAAAATCTGCCTTTTTTCTCATAAACGTCGCTTATTATCCAGTTTTTTCGCAGTTAATCTGTAAAGCCGTTAAATACTAGAAAAAATGAAGACATGGAAAAAATTATTATCCAGTTTTTTCGCAGTTAATCTTTAAAGTCGTCAAATACTAGAAAAATTAAGACATGGGAAAAAATTATTACCCAGTTTTTTCGCAGTTAACCTGTAAAGTCGTTAAATACTAGAAAAAATGAAGACATGGGAAAAAATTATTACCCAGTTTTTTCGCAGTTAACCTGTAAAGCCGTTAAATACTAGAAAAATAAAGACATGGGATAAATTTATACGTTAACTGATGTCCCACGGCTGCAAGCCATTGAAGGCCAGCGAGGAAGCATCTTCACTTGTACAGTCTCACGCAAAAATATCGATCACAATTGTTCATTTAAAATAAGAAAACTAAATTAAAATTTAGATAAATTTATATAGTTATTGACTTTATGACATAAAAATTACAACCATGAAGGTAATTCACTTGCACTATCGCCTGTAAGAATATTGCATATGGTTGCTTGAAAAAATCAACTTGGAAATAAAATAACTATGAAATGAATACTTAATAGCTTGAATTGAAGAGAAAATGAAATATTTCCTTGTTAATCCTTATCCATTTTTACGCTGTTGCGATGCTTTTTGAACGGTTTGATTAATAAGTATTGATTAAAACGATTTTTAATTCATTCTATCGGTTTAATCGCGTCTTATAACAGTGAATATTCCAGCTAATAAATACATTTTGATCAGCAAACGGGAATGAAGATTTTGTTTGCTAGGTTATATGATCCTCATTTATATTTCATCACATTTGGATGTATTTAATGGCTGTTTGGGCACCCGCATGAATCAAAGCTTTAAATTTGATCTTTAAATTATTATGTATATATACAATGTAAAGGGCCAAAAAGATAGTATTTTCGTATTTTGAAACAAGAGTCAAGCTGGAATTATTTTGTTCTACGTAATGTGTGGGTGAGAACGGGTATTTATTTAATTGTCAGTTATTTATTTTATTATTATTGACAAAAATCAGGAAGACAGGATTCAGGATAACGGGATACTAAAGTTTGCAGGATTCACGAACCTGAACAACGTTGTGCTAAACAACTCGTACTGTAAATAAAATAGTTTTCATCGTGGCATTATACAAGGTTGAATTTCAACGTTGACTGCTCATAGATACAGCCAGACTGGGCATAAACTTTCGAGCGACTGTACCTCGGTCCTGAAGCTCGTCTGAATAGCCTTGAATAAAACCTAAATCCTGGCTGTAAAGGTCCACTCAAGCGTACTCCTTAGCTTGTATACAAATAGCTTTTCCCACTGGGAAAAAACAGGGGTTGAACAATTGGACTTTTTCCCCAAGGGACAATCAATTGATTGTTGATTGTTGCTGTTGTCATACTTCTTGTTATTGAGAACTTAGATAAATGTTAAGCTGATAAGTAATAAAACTAGTGAAAATATAAAAACAAAAAATAACTAGTGCCAATTATGAAGTGACATATACTATAATAATTGCCATTATTGAAACAACAACTACATGAACTGGTGTCATCATAAAACCAGAAATTTCAAGAACTAGTTCCATTATGAAAACACTAGTGTCATTATTAAACCTTCAATTTAGAGAACAATAACCAATATAAAACAAGCGATCGGTCAGCCATGACTGGCTCTAAAATTTTCGAGTTTTATAAACGATGGAATTCAATTCTAGGCGGTAAAAGCTGATAAGCAAAGAGCTTTGATCAATTCATTTTTTTTTAAACTCCATGAATGAAGTTTAAGAATACCAAACAGAAACGTTAAAACAATTCGTATTTTTTTATGTTAATGCTGGAATTCTACAACAGACTGCCAATATAATCTTATAAGCTTTATCACTCGATTAGATTACAATGATCACAAAATTAGTTATTTTAATTATGTTGAAATGAATATAATTATTTTAGTGTTGTTTGAATATAGGATTAGTAAATATTATATAAATATTTCAGTCCTAATACATTGTGTGTCAAATATCAAATTATATATTTTTGGTCAGATACGCTCTGCCTATACGAAAAAACGCAAAAAAACTTGTTAAATAAATTCCATAAAATGATCGAAAGACTGATATTCCTACGCAATTCTAAAATCAAATGACTTTAGTATAGGCATTCAGGCCTTGGAAC